TAGAATAGCAAAATATATGAAGCAAAAACTGGCAGGCAGAAATAAAGGTGGAAATAGACAATTCAACAACACTCAACTTTTAATAATGGATAAAATGACTAGGCAGAAGATCAACAAGGAAATAGAAGACTTAACACCATAAATCAACTTGAACAAACAGATATGTATAAAACACTACACCCCACAACACAGAGTACAGATTCTCCTCAAGTTCACTTAGAATACTCTCCAGAATAGACCACATGCAAATCTATAACACAAACCTCAAGAAGTTTAAAAGAATCGAGATTATCCAAACTATGTTCCCAAACACAAAGAAAGAAAATTAGATACTGATAACAAAGGGAAATTTGAGAAATTCATAAATATATGGAATTAAAGAGTGCACAATAAATACCAACGGATCAAAGAAGAAATCAAAAGGGAAATTAGAAAAAAGAAATAAAGAGCAACATCCCAAAACGTATGTGATGCTGCTAAAGCATGCTTAGAAGGAAATTGGTACTTTGAATGCCTATTATACAAAGACCTAAATCAATAACTTAAACTTCCACCTTAAAACAATGAAAAAGAAGAGCAAACTAAATCTAGAGTAAGAAGAAGGAAGAAAGCAATAAAGATTAGAGTGGAAATTAATGAGAAAGAGAGAGAATAAAAAAATTGAAAAATTAATAAAACCAAAAACTGGTTATTTAAAAGAATCAACAAAATTGACAAACCTTCAGCTAGATTAATAAAAAAAAGAAAGAAGACCCAAGTTACTCAAATCAGAAATGAAAAAGGGAAATTACTACCAACCTTACAGAAATAAAAAGGATTGTAAAACAACAGTATGAGCAATGGTATTTTAACAAAAGAGATCACTTGATGAAATGGAAAATGCTTAGAAAGACACAAAGCTACCCAAACTGATTCAAGAAGAAATAGGCAATCTGAATAGATCTATAAAAAATAAAGATATTGAATTAGTAATCAAGAAACCTCCCATGAATAAAAGCCCAGACCCACATGGCTTCACCACTAAATTCTAAAAGTATATTTAAAGAATTAATAGCAATTCTTTAAAAACTCTTCCAAAAAAAAGCAGAAACTCTACTCAACTTATTTTATGAAACCAGGATTACTTGATACCAAAAGCAAAGATAGCACAACAAAGAAAGAAAATAACTGCATGCCAATATTTCTTATGAACATGGATGCAAAAATTTTCAACAAAATCTTTGCAAACTGAACCTATCAAGGTATTATACACTACAACCAAGTGGAGATTTGTCTCAGGTATGCAAGTTTGGTTGACTCAAAAATCACTTAATATAACACATCATATCAAAAACAAACAAAAACCCGACAAAAACCACATGATCATCTCAATAGACAAAAAAAATTATTTGACAAAATCAACACCCTTTCATGATAAAAATATTCAACAAACTAGGAGTAAAAGGCAACTTCTTCAATATGATCAATGGCATCTGTGAAAAATCCACAGAGCCAACATCATAAGTAATGGTGAAAGACTAGCTGTTTTACCCTTAAGTGAGGGACAACATTAGGATATTTGCCATCAGTACTTCTATTCAACATTGTCCTAGAATTTCTAGCCAAAGCAATTAGGGAAGGAAGAAAAAAAGAAAAGACTAAAACAACTGAAAGGTATCCACATAGAAAAGGAAGAAGTACAACTATCTCTATTTGCAGATCACATGGTTATGCATATAGAAAATGCTAAAGAACTCACTAAAAACCTATTAGAACTAATAAAGGAGATCAGCAAGATAGTATACAAGATCCATATATGAAAAACAATCTCTATATACTGGCAATGAAAAATATTAAAAGAAAATTAAGAAAATAATTCCATTTGTTTTTTTAGCACACAAAAGAATAAATACCCAGGAATAAATTTAACAAAAAAAAGTAAAATACTTGCAACCTGTAAACTATAAAATGTTGCTGAAAAAACTAAAGAAGATACGAATGAATGGAAAAATATGCCCTGTTCATGGTTTAGAAGACTTAATGTTGTTGAGATGACAATTCTCCTCAAATTGATCTACAGATTCAATGCAACCCCTATCAGAATACCAGCTATCTTCTTTGTAGAAATTGACAAGCTGATTCTAAAGTTTGTATGGAATTACAGGACCCACCAGAACAATCTTGAAATGAAGTAGAAAGTAAGAGGAGTCACACTTCCCGATTTCAAAACTTACTAAAAACCATAGTAATCAAGACACTGTGGCACTGGCATATGGACAGACTACAGGTCAATGAAATAGAACTGAGACTCTAGAACTAAATCAACCTATGTATATCTATGGCAAACAGATTTTCAACCAGGGAGCCAAGGCCATTCAATGATACTGGTACAACTAAATACTCACACACAAAAGAGTGAATTTAGATCCCTCCCTCATATTGTTTATAAAAATTAACTAAAAATGGATCATAAATCTAAAATATAAGAACTAAACTATAAAATTCTTAGATGAAAATATGGGTAAATCTTTATGACCTCAGATTTGGCAATGATTTCTTAGATATGACACCAAAAGCACAAACAAAAGAAAATATAGATAAATTGGATCCTAGCAAAATTTTAAACTTTTGTGCATAAAGGGAACTATCAAAAAGGTGAGAAGATAGCTCATAGCATGAGAGAAAATATTTACAAATCACATAATTGATAAGTGTATAGTATCTAAGAATGGATATTCTTACAAGGCAACCATAAAAAGACAAACAGACTAATTAAAAAATGGACAAAGAACTTGAATAGATGTTTTTACCCAGAGAAAACATACAAATGGCCAAAAAGCATGTGAAATGATCCTCAGCATCATTAGTCATCATGGAAATTCAAATCAAAACCACAATGATATACTATATCTCAACCACTAGAATGGCTATAATAAAAAAAAAAAGAAAACAGAAAATAAAAATGTTGGCCAGGATCTGGTAATATTAGAACTCTTTACCTTCTTGATAGGAATGTAAAATTGTGCAGCTGATATGGAAAATAGTTTGATGATTCTCAAAATGTCAAATATAGAATATGACCCAGTAATTCCACTACTAAGTGTATACCCAAAAGAAATTAAAATAAGTGTTTAAACAAAAACATGAACAAAAAATGTTACTGTCAGTGCTATTTACAATACTCCCCAAAAGAAACAACCCAAATATCTATCAACTAATGAATGTATAAACAAATTGTAAAATATCCATACAGTGAAATATTACTTAGCTCTAAAAAATGCTACAACATAGATTAACCTGGGAAATATTATGCAAAGTTAAAGAAGCCAGTGATAAAAGACCACATATAATGTTATATTATTCAACTTTAACAAAAGGTCAAAAAAAGGAAAGCCGGAAAAAAAAAAAAGAAAAGAAGGGTTGCCCGCCGGGAAGAAAGGGAAAAAAAAAAAAAAAAAAGTAAAAGGGAAAAAAAAAACTTTAAAGGGGAAGAAAAAAATCCAAAAATGAACGGGGAGGGGAAGGGAACCAACCGGAAAAAAAAAAAAAAAAAATGAAATCCAAAACTTAAAATGGGGAAGTTTTTTGATATGTGAATTAGATCTCAAAGCTGTTTAAAAAATTGTAGCAATTGAAAATGCTTGATACACCATAAAAATAATAAAATATATACAAAATATGACCATAACAATGTACATCTCTTACATATACATATATATATGTAGATACACATATAAACATAGTTACAGATAACATATAGATGAAACAATTCTAAACAAGAAGTCAGAAACTCTAGTTCCAACTTACTCACTATTGGAAAAGGTAGGAAAAAATACCAAAATGTTAATGGTGGTTGTCTTATAGTGGTGAGATTAGTGAGTAGTTTCTATTCACTTTACTTCTTTGCCGTTTCCTAGTTTTCTTCAAAGGTATTTACATGAGAAAAATATTATATAGGGAAGTCCAGGAATTCTGGAATTCAAATTCAGCCCTTGACTAAATGAAAGGAAACTTGTAAAGCTTCTTATAGAATTCAAATCATTGTCATAAAGAAAGAATATGCTTCCTTGAGAGTAGAGACTGTGCCAATATGTCTTGGTAGATGTAGAGACACCACCTGGTGTCTAAAACGGAAGAGAATTTCTTGATATCAGACTTGAACACGTCACCCATCAAAATACAGGGTAAAAATTTGTAAAAATCAATGGAGCAAATTTCATGAACTATAGATTTGTTCCATACAAATTGAAAAGAAGTGCCTAAAATTAGGTTACAATCCTGACAACACAGAGGCAGCATTGGCACAAAATTAAGAAAGACCCCTTGGTTCACATCCTAGCTCAGCGACTTTCTAACTCTGTGACACTGCAGAAGTGTCTTAGGCTCTCAGTACCTTAATTTTTTCCTCTGTAAATTGGTTTAATAATATTATCTACTTCATATGGTTAGTATGATAATTATATATCTCAGTATTAATAAAGTGCATAGAATAGTGTCTGGCACAGAGTAAGCACTGTAAAGGAGTTTGTTGAATAAAACATTGAATAAATAGATAGACATAAATCATTCCAGAATTTATTCAGTCTCACCTAGTTATCCCAAACCTCACTTAGCCTAATTGCCCCCAGATAAATACAAGACAAAGTTGTAAAGACAGATCACGACGTAAAGCTTACTCTCCACAATTATGCACTCCTGGAATTTAGCACCTTTCTCAGCGCCAACTTGACATCTTTGTTCCTCAAGGTGTATATCAAAGGATTCAGGGAAGGGGTGACAATGTTATTCAACACCTGAACCACAGAGTCCAGCCAGGGACTCGAGGCAGGTCGGAGATAAACAAGGACGACTGGCCCATAGAACAGCAGGATGGAGGTCAGATGGGCCCCGCAGGTGGAGAAGGCTCTGCGCCCGCCTTCTGCGGGGCCGATTCTCAACACGGAGGCAACGATGCGAGCGAACGACGCGAGGATAAGAAGAAAACACACGAGCGCAACAACACCTACGTTGGTGAAACTCACCGTCTGTGCGAGGGAGGTGTCGGCACAGGCCAGGGCCAGCACCACTGGAACGTCACAGGAAAAATTATCCACCTCGTTGGGGCCACAGTAGGGCAACTTAAAGACGAGGAATGCGAGGACGGACGCGTGCAGACAGCTCCCCATCCAGGCGCCCAGAGTCGCGATGGCGCACGCCCGCCGGCTCGTGATGACGGTGTGTCGCAAAGGGTGGCAGATGGCCGCAAAGCGGTCGTAGGCCATCACGGTGTAGAGGAAACACTCGGTGCAGCCCAGGAAATGGTAGAAGAAGAGCTGGGAGGCGCAGCCCCCGTAAGAGATGGCCCTGCTTTGCCCCATGAGGCAGAGCGTCATTTTGGGGGAGCTCACTGAAGGGAAAAATATGTCGAACACTGACAAGTTTCCCAAGAAGAAATACATGGGGGTGTGGAGGTTAGAGGAAGAGAGGATGGCCAGGAGAATGAGCAGATTCCCCAGCAGAGTGAGCAGGTAGAAGGCCAGAAACAAGACAAAGAGCACGTTTTCCAGCCCTCTTGTGTGCGGGATGCCCATCAGGAGGAACTCGGTGACTGGGGTGTGGTTCCTCATCGTCATGTCTGCTCAGTCCTGGAAGATCAAAGAATGGCCTCACCGAGACGAGGTTCCCCCCAAATCCAGTGTCTTCACAGAACCTGTTGGAAACCGATAGTAACTATACACTGTAAAGAACTTCTAAACAGGCGTCAGTCCAATTCTGTCACTAATGTGTGAAGTTTGGGTAAATATTCATCTGTTTCTTCCCAAGTAAAAATGAAGAGATAACACTAGAGGCAGTATAGAAGAGAAGGCATAAAATAAAATTTATGATTAAAATTATCTGATTTTAAATGCTAAATCTGTTACCTACTCTGTGACTTTGGATAACTAAACAAAAATCTCTAAATCTCTTCTGAATCTGTGTAAATAGTATAAGACCACCCTATGGTTCTTGTGAAAATCAATACTTTAATGTATATGGAGTACCCAGTATAATGTCTTCTCCTATGCCTCCTTGTTAAAAAATGTATTCAATATACTAATATTCTGATTTTAATGAGCCTTTATTCCACAGTACTTCTGTGGGCTGACTTGGAGCAGTTCTAGCGTTACCTGTTGATGTGACTGATTCACAAAGCTACTTTCTCCATCAGCTGGACCAACTGAAAACCGAGAACTGTCTAGTGGGCATAAAATCAAACACAATGGAAAAGATGGTATTTAATGTAGGAAACAGTAATAGATGATTACCAATATTAAAACAGACATCTCCTTTTAATAGAGTTTAGTCTCCAATAGCAATTATGTGTGCAACACAATTGCATATGTGCAATCACCATTAATGTTTTAAAGTTAAGCTTCATGAATCAAGGAATAGCCTAAGAAAATACCAGAGTCAACTAAGTCAGTATTACCCCAAACTCAGAGCCAATTCCCACATTCCTTCCATCTTCCTCAGGGCATGGCATATCACCAGTCAGAAGACAAGAAGAAAGCACTCCAGAGAAAAGTCACTTGCAGACTGAAGTGAAATATGGCTGACTTGGGCAGAAAACCAAGCCCCACATCCACCCACTCCTGTGTCCTCTGCCTTTAGATGCTGAGGAACATCTGTGGCTCTGGGGCCAGAAATGCTGAACATTCCTTCCTCAGACGCAGCCACGCAAGCCTGAAATTCTAGACCCAACAGTGCCTCGACTCCTGAGTGAAGAAGCAGCAATCACCCCTCAAGAGAGAATAAACATCTTTACTTTCCTTTGGGATCCTCTTCCCTCGTGGGCACTAGGGAGGTGTGGCACACAGGGAACAATTAGACTGGAGACAGTCCCCTCTTCCCTCTTTTCTTGTTTCCCTCCACTGTCTCTACCTCATTACTTCTCAGACTAAAATGTAATTATATAGTGGCATTTAGTTATATTCAGTTTTTAAAGCTCTCTGATTAACAACAACTCTTGGGCATGTTTTTCCTTTAATAGCCATCCATTGAGTTCAGATATTTGAGATTGACCAGAGGTCCTGTGCTTGGAGGATTTGGGTTTGAAGAAAGAGCTGGTGATTAGGAAAGCAATACCTTAAAGAAAAGAGGCAACAGTCTCATCTGATGTTAAAACAAAGCAAAACACACCTGCAACTTTTTTTTTCCCTACAATTTGCTCTGTAATCCCCATTATCACTTCTACAACTGATAAAACTCATACTTTATTCATTTTATGAAAACTCTTTTTATATTCCTTTAAGACTGCTACTCATGCTTATTTTAGCATGCTTTCATTACTGAAACTTTGCTTAATGTTTACTGTAAGAATTCAATCAGCTGCCTCCTGTGGAGAGAATGTATCAGAGCAGACAAGGATAGATTAAGTAGGCTGTGAGCACATCATTTTTACTGGCTGTCTGATGGTACAAGCACATGGGCTTTGACAAATGAATCTACAAGGAAAAAAGCAAATTAATTTTTCATTACATATCATACAATTCTAGGGATATTATAAACTCAAATTTGTAAGGCAAACAATACAGCTTTTACCAGTTAAATTGGGGGAAATCTTTTTGATCCAGATATATAAACTAACAGCAATAAAGTAAACATTGACAATTTTGGTTTCTTTAATATTGAGAATAATATTATAAGAGTGAGAAAATAAAAGCAAAAAGAAAAAGTGGAAAATACATTATTTATAGCAAATATTACTATCAAGGACTCATATTCAAAATATATAAAGAACTCCTCAAAATTACATAAAAATCAAGGAATCCAGTATGAATGTAGGTAAATTATTTTGGTCAGGCTTCACAAAAGGAGAAATTTAAATAGCCAATAAACAAAGGAAAATCTGGTCAATCACCTTAAGAATTGAGATAATGTAAATTAAAATTGCAATGAAAATTTGTTTAAAGTAAATGTCAAAATTATGAATTGCTAGAATTTTCACACATTATTGAAGAAAGTATAAATTTATAGACTCACTTTAAAAAATGGTTTCTCATTTTCAAGTGAGCTGGAATATGTTTTCTTCACCATATATAAATTTCTCTGTAGATATTCAGAATATGTGCATCAGGATAATATATAAGAGTATTCAAGGCAGGATTTTTGTGATAGCTAAATTGGAATGGTTAAATGCCTAATAAGTGTATGTTTTAAAAGTGGAACAATGCACATCAATAAAAAGAGTAAATTTATGGCTATACATGTCAATATGTATGTCTTCAAAACATCATGTTAAGTAATAGAAACAATGCATTACTTATTATTATATGATTCCACTTATATAAATTTTTAAAGGCAAAATTTAACTATTGGTTAGACATACCCTCAAAATGAATAAGAAATCAAAATTACCATGGACCTCATGTTAGTACAATGGGAAGGGATTGGGTTCAGGAAGATATGTGAGAGGCTCAAAGGTTCCTGACAAGGTTTAACTTCTTAATTTGGATGGTACTAACATAAGTGTTTGCTTTATAATGAATTTGAACTGTATATTTATGCTCATGCACTTTTATCTTTATACTTTATTTTTTACAACACAAGGCAAATGACAAAAATAAAAAACATCAATTAGAGATTTTGTATTCTGGCCTATGACACAATAACCAGGATTGGATTTGTCCTCCCACCATAAATAAATATAAAACTGGACCAAAAAATATATTTATACATATTTTCAAATATTGGACAGTAGGCAGCACAAGACTGTAATCCCTGAGAAAGAGAAAACAAATGAGCCAAGCACTTCTGTTGGGAGGCACATCCTGGACCGTGGTGCATGGATGGGGGTCTCCTGGAGAGCACAACAGTTTTATTGATTTGAGGACAGAGTTAGGAGTTCAAATTAATGAAGAAACAATACCAAATTTAAACAAACTCTTTCAGAAAATTGAATAGGTAGAAAAATTCCCAACTCATTCAATGATTCCAGTATTACCTTGATCCCAAAATAAGACAATGTCCATACTACTTAGAGTGATCTTCAGAATTAATGCAATCCCTATCAAAATACAATCATCATTTTTTACAGATTTAGAAAAAATAATTCTACACTTTGTATAGAACTAGAAAAGACCTCATATATCCAAAGCAATCTTAAGCAAAAAGAATTAATTGGGATATACCAGTCTACCAGACTTCAAGCTTTACTACAAGGCTGTAGTAACCAAAACAGCATGGTACTAGCACAAGAACAGAGATATAGATATATCTGCATTCTCAGCCTGGACTTTGACCTCTTCTGGCCCAATTTGGGCACCCTAATTCCCCTCTCTTGTCTGATTGCTCTGGCAAAGACTTCCAGCACTATGTTGAATAGAAGTGGAGATAGTGGGCAATTTTGTCTCATTCCAGTTCTAAGTGGGAATCCTCAACAAAATCTTAGCAAACCAAATTCAACAGCATATGAAAAAAATAATTCATCATAACCAGGTGGGCTTTATCCAAGAGATGCAAGGATGGTTCAACATACACAAATCTATAAATGCAATTCACCACATAAATAAAAACAGGAACAAAGACCATATGATTCTCTAAATAGATGTGGGAAAAGCATTTGACAAAATCCAGCATTATTTTATGATAAAAACTCTTAACAAAATGGCATAGATGGGACATACCCTAAAATTATTAAAGCTGTATATCATAAACCCACAGGCAACATCATACTGAATGGGGAAAAAATAAACTATTTAAAATAGCATCAAAATTTTAAAGTGATAAATCTTATGAAATATGCTGGATCTGAACACTGAAACTATATAACACCACTAAGAGAAACAAAAAAGACATATAGTATTCATGAGTCAAAATAATACACTATTTTTAAGATATCAATTCTACCCAAATTGACCTATAAATTCAATGCAATTCTAACCAAAATCCCAGTAGGCTTTTTTTTTTTTAGAAATTAACAAGCTGATTCTAAAATTCATTGAAATGCAAAGGACTTTGAATAGCAAAAATAATTGTTAAAAAAATAATGTTGGAGGAATGGTTCAATGGCAGAGGATGCCTGGTGACAAATACCAGTGGTAAATACAAATGCATGTAGTTCTACCTTTCTCTAGTCTTTGTTAGGATATCAACAGAAGCTACCAGAACATATGGGTGAACTCAACTGTGCCTTTTTCCATGTGCATAGGGCTATCAGTACAGAATTCTTGATGATGTTAGAAGTTATGACTCATTTATCATATAATATCCCATTGGGTTTAGTGAAACATAGCCAAAAAGGAGGGATCATTCCTTTCTTATTCTTGAAGAAGGTAAAAGTCAGCAAATGTTATTGCTGACCTCCTCTTGATGGAAAAAGGTGTTGTGTAGCAATCATATGAAATCTAATCCTTAAACAATAGATAGGTGGGCAACAACTGTGCTTCCTACCAATGTAGTAAGACAGGAAAGAAAATTAATGGATGCTTTACTTTTGGAAAATAAAAGTCAAAATTAATATTTTATAAAGATTATATTATTTTATAACTATACAACCCAAGAGAATCAAATAGAAGTTATAGCATTCATAAAAGAAAAAAGTAAGAGGGATAGAAGTTTAAACTAACAAAAAATTAATAGCATATACTTGATAAAAAGAATTTAGAAATATATTAACTGGAGCTAAATTTCAAATAATTATTAAAATAGTCTCTCTTTTTTGTTTATTATTTTTTTATTTCAGAATATTATGGGGGTACAAATGTTTTGGTTATATAAATTGCTTTTATACCATTTGAATCAAAGTTATAAGTGTACCCATCCCCAGGATAGTATATACTGTACCTGTTAGGTATGAATTTCCCATCCCCTCTTCCAC